AACAAAACAAAGCAAAGCAAAACAAAACAAAACAAAACAAAATAAAACAAAACCACAAGCCATAACATTTTACTCCTGGTTCCCCCAAAGTCTCATACACATTTCTTTATGCAAAAGGCATTTAGTCCATCTCTAAAATTTGCCAAAGTTCTGTCAGTTTCAGCACTGCTGAAAAGTCCAAGTCCAAAATCTCTGAGATTTAAGGCAAACTCAACTGCAAGCCCTCATGCAAATGAAAAGAAAGTTAAGCACTTCCAACATTTAATGGCACAAGATAAGCATTACTATCCCAAAAGGTACACATAGGGGGACACAGAGGAATAGGACCAAAACAAGTCCAAAATCCAACAGGGCAAACATATGTTCCATAGTTCCACATGCAGCACCTGAGGCAATCTGTGCTAAAATGTGAACTCCAAAGGGCTTGGGTGGCTCCACCTCTACCAAACTGCTGGTTTCTCTCATGGGCAGATTCTATTTCCTCTTTGTACCTTTCCTCAGATGATCCTCGTTCCTGGCTTCTCCAAATTTCTGGAGCCTCCATCAAACCTTTGGCTTCACCCTCACAGCTTCTCACACTGCCCTCTCAGGGGCCACACTGCCTGGCATCCCAGGCCTTCTTCTTAAATCTAGGTGGTAGCCTCTACAACTCCTCCATTCTGTATGCACCCTGAAACCAGCACCACGTGGGTTATGCCAAGGGCTGCTACCAGCTGAAGCAGTAGCCAGCTACCCTCTCTTGGCTGTAGGGGTCAGATATCTAAGGACCAGCTTCTCTAGGCCACCACTATTCTGGAACATGGTGCTCTGGGGCCTTCTTCTCAAAGCAAAGTCTTTCACTTTTTGCAATTTTGAGGCTGCTAAGAGTAGAGCTCTGCTGCTTCTTGCGATGTCCTTAGGACATCTTTTCTATCCTCCCGTTCCTTCTCAGCAATCAAGATCTTCTCTGCTCTATCTTTACAATCCAAAGCTCTACTGGAGCTTCCTTTTTGGCCAAATTAAAAACATTTTAAATCATTCTGCTGGGCTCTTTGCTTTTGATTCTCAACACAGCCATACATCTGGCTAAAAGCCCCCAACAGCAGCTATGCCACCACCTCAACATTAGGCTACCTTGAAATTTCTTCTGCAAGATTAATTAGCCTGCCACCCTTAATCTCAGTTTCAGGCAAAGTCTCTGAACATAAGCAAAATGCAAACTTTCTGCCAAGCTATAACACACGTCATCTGGAGTCCAACAGCCAACGCAGTCCTTCTTCCCAACAAAAACCTCCTGAGCCTGGTCTTTACCAGCAGGATTTTTATCAGCCTTCTGGGCTTCTGAGCTCTGACCAGAATCTCCCATGAAGTACAGGCTAAGGTGTTCCAGCTCTACTTTTCAGGGGGCATTTCTGAACCCTTCCAAACTCTTCCCACAAGCTACTCCCAAAGGTTCCTGAACCACATGACCAGGCATAGTCACAGCAATGACCCCACTTCTCTGATACCAAATTCTGTCTTACTTTCTTCATTGCTGAGATAAAATACCCAACATCCAAAATTAAAGGAGAAAAGATTTATTTGGCTAACAGTTTGTAAAGGTTTCAGTTCATAATCAGCTGGCTGCAAGGCATGGTGGCATGGCAGACAGGCATCAGAGAGGAGAAACAGTACATGGTGAGCAGAAGGTAGCAAAGCAACAAGGGATGACCACAGCTCTTTCTATCCCTTATATCTTATCCAGGTTACTTAGGGCAGGTAGCACTCACATACTTAACGCTAGTGTCCTTGATCCTAGCATTGCACTATGAATCCATTCCATGTCACATACTCTAGATTCAGCCACTTGTAAAAAAGCCTTACCTATGACCATGTGAGGTTTTAGGGGGATATCTAGTCACAAGGCATAACACATGTGGCCTGCTGTGTCCCCCTCTGTGTCTGTCAGCGCTGTCAGGGGTGTTGGAGATGGAGGCTGATTCTCAGGCTTCAGGAGCAGTCCCACTGGGCAGCTGTGGTAGGAGGGACCCCAGGACTTGGCCCAGTCCCCTCAGCTCCTTCTGCCACTCCAAGTTGGCCTTTGAAAGGAAAGTAGGGGGCACCTGTGTGAGTCACTCTGCTCCTGGGAAATGAGCCAGGACCCACTTGGGGGATCACTCCGGGATGTCTGCTAGCCCAGAATGACATGCAGAGAAAGCTGCTGACAGCCAGCAAGTGCATCACCATGGCAACACTTCCATCCTTGAACTGTCCTTCCCTTGGATTCTGGGAGGCTGAGGTGAGATAGTGAAGCATGTCAGATAAACAGGACGTGATGAATGTAAGAAATATCTGTCACTCCCTGCTGACTTCAGCCATATACCACACCTGTAAGTGAAGCTCCTTTTTTTACCTTCCTCTCATCATAAGATCTTTCCTATCCCATAAGTGGTGTCCACCAGGCAAGCTTATGTTTATCACTGTATCAGTACATTCTAAACCAATCAATATGTACGTTTTATGTTCTTTTTGTTTTTTGGTACCGGAAATCCAACTCAGGAACTTCTACTTGCCAGGCAGTCACTTGTGCTACTGAGTTACATCCCTGGCCCTCATTTTATGTTCTTAAAAAATTTAAATTTGAGTCACAGGATATAACACTAACCATTTTATTTTTTGTGGTGCTGGGAACTGAACGTAGGGCCTTGTAAATGCTACATAAATACCTTCAGCTATATCCCTAGTCCCTTTAAAAAATTTTTGAGACAAAGTCCATTAAATTTCCCAGGTTGGTCTGGAACTTGTGATTCTCCCGCTTCAGCCACCTGAGTAACTGAGATTACAGGTACAGGCCCCTGTGCTGGCAGTGGGATCACTTCCTTTACGCACTGGCGCTGTATACACGGCTCTCACCTGTGTTGAGGAACATGGCCCCTGCTCATTCTTTCTGCTGCTGAATCATGTGCCACTGTGTCTATTTCACACAATCCATTTTCCTGGGGGACACTGGGTGGTGAAGGAGTTCAGAATGGGCTACCCCAAAATATGCTGCTTTGAACTACTATTTTGAATTAAAGTCCCTTGAAAGACAGTAGATGCCAGGACACTCTGACCATCCTTCTTCCTCTTAATAGCAGGAGGTAAAATTTCCGTGTGAAATGTGTCCTCCCTATTCCAGAAGGAAAGAGATGATTTTATCACCAAGGAAGTCAGAGAGAAATCTGCATAAGCAAAGATTAAATTAACTCAGCCTTAACCTCCTTGTCACTTCCCCTAGCCCAAGCCCCTCTGCTTTGTCACATTTTCCCAGTTCTTTTTTGCTCAACTGGGTGTGTGATGAATGCCTGTCCTTCCAGTCCTCTGGGAGGCTGAGGCAGGAGGGCTGCAAGTTTGAGTCCAGCTGGACAACTTAGTATAACCCCATCTCAAAATTTAAAAAGGTGGGGGTGCTGGGGTTTGCAACTAAGTTTGAAGGTCCTAGGAATCTTCCCCCTAAAACTTAAGCAGTGATGTGATTCTTTGCTCAGCTCACGCATGCACACATATAAAAATGTATTACTTGTGGTGCTAGGGATGGAATCTAGGGTCTCATGCATGTGAGGCAAGTGTGCCAACCCTGAACTACTTCCCTGTGCCCCAACTCCGTGTCTAAGCGTTCACCTCTGCTCGTCTGAGTTCCACGCACATGTAAGAAAAACAAAACAAAAAACTAAAGTTTGTGTGTTTTTCTTCTGTTAATCTGTTTAATATCCATTTAATTTGTAGGCCCAACCCTGAGCATACAGAAGTGTTTCCTCTACTTCAGTGATTCCAGGGTTTGAAGACTGCCAATAATCCTGCCTCCGTTTGCACATGCCGAGGCTTCTCTGGGATGTAAACCCAAGAACTCTTGTGTTACTGGCCAGGTTCAGCTCCGGTTAGGCATCGCCAAAGTGTTCTTCAGAGTGGTACTCATTTTTACTCCAACAGCTTGGCTTTCTTGGGGAATGAGCTGCTTTCATCTCATTTTAGTACTTTAGCAAATTTAGTAAAATTTTAGTACTTTAGCACTGGGACAGTGACTTCACTTAATAAAATGTTCCAAGGTAGGCAAAGCAACCTTATGAATCATTCTGTCACTTTTTTTTTTTTTTGTCTTTTTGCGACAGGGTCTCGCGATGCAGTTCAGGCTGGCCGTGAGCTCACTTTGTAGCCCAGACTGGTCTGGAACTTGCAATGATCCTCCTGCCTCAGCCTCCCGAGTGCTGGGATTACAGGCGTGTGCCACCATGCCCGGTTTTCAGCCACATTCTGAAGTGAGGAATCTGAGACTCACAGAGGCTGAGGGACTTGGCAGGACCACAGAGCCAGGAGATCTCGAGGCAGGGTGCCACCCGAGTGCCTGAGCCAAGGGCCACCCCTCCTGGGAGTCTCTCACTGTCCTCCTGACTCAAGATACTTTATCCCTTAGGTATGCAGGGACTGTGAAGTCTGCCCATCTCTGGGGTCTCAGGCCAAGAGAGAGCAGCAAACAAGAAAGGGGTGCGTGGTCAGAGCTGCACCTGGGCCTAGGAAGGACTCAGTTCAGCTTTCCCTTCCCAGTTTGCCTTGATGAGGTCAACTTGCCTGTGGACAAAAATGGCATCTGGATTTGTGGATCTAAGTCACCCTAGGAGGACACACACAAAAGAGCAGCAACACACAAGGACTTTGCAGATAGGCCAGGTGTGCTGGTGCACGCCAGTAATCCCTGTACTGGAGGCTGAGGCAGGAGGATTGCCTTGCTGGAAGTGAGCCTGGGCTACTGAGTACAAAGCTAGCCTGAACGGCATAGTGAGACCTTGTCTCAAAAAGACACACACACACACACACACACACACACACACACACACACACAACTTTGCAGAGGAGGCTGGGCCAGTGTCCAGGGGGGCTTCTCAGTGCTGCACTTGCCCCTGCTGAGCCCTTATACTGGCCGGGACTCAGGGCTGCGGCCAGCGCACCTCCCCTTTGGGATGCAGCTGCCATTCCCTTCAACCCCGAGTGTCTCCACATCCAGAGGTTTCTCGATCTCCCGGCATTCCAATCTTCCCTTCCCAGGAGCCACTCAGCAGCGGGGCGGGCAGCAGGTGTGGAGAGGCTGTCCATCTTGCCCCTCCACGTGGCGCCCTGCATGTGTGCCCTGTGCATGGGACCGCTGGCTGGTACCCCGGTGAAATCAGGCAAGTTTTCTCCTCTGGAAAACGCAGGGGCCCTAACAGCTGAAAGGAACCCCTGGCATGTGGGGCCGTGGGGTATTTGATAACGGGATGAGCTTGTTTTGGTCCTTGCCGGGTGCCCACCATCCTCATACCACTTCCTGTTTGCTCAGTTCTGTGCCATGAATGTTCCCAACGTGCCTGAATGCTTCTAGCTCTGGCAAGGACGACATGTTGGCACACCACCCACCCCCCTACTCTGCTGGTGCTTCGAGGTAGCACAGCACCTGGGGAGCCCGCCACCTTCCTCGGCACAGAGGCAGCACTGCTCCTCTCCAGTGGTGCCCCTTGTCCTTCTGTGGTGCCAGCTGCTCAGCTGATCTGCTGCGTCCTCCAGTTCGATGAGGACAGGCCCTAGGCGAAGCATCGCCAGGGCCCTCACCCAGTTCCTCTTGATTAGCTCCGACAGCGCAGCGCGCACTTCAGGTTTAGTTCTTAATGCGTCCCCTCTCAGCCCCTCGGGAGGCCTTGTGCACAGTTCTTAATTAGAGTAATTTGTTCCTTGGGACACGAGGGGAGCACGGGGAGAGGCTGTTCCATTCTTTGACCTTACACTGTTTCAGGAGTTTCTTTAGTAATGAGAAGGTGCCAGACGCCCTGGAAACCTGATACATTCAAGTGGGCCATGGAAAGAAACAGGACTGGCGGTCAGGGCAAGGCCAGGAAGCTCACCTCCTGGGGAGTCCCTGGACCCTGTAGGACAGCTGAGAGGTGTCCTTGGACGGCAGCATCAGTCATTCAGGCCGCAGCGAGGGCCGAACACTGGACCTGGCAAAAGGCTGCTAATCTGCCCGAGCACTGACTCATACTTTCCACTTCCCGTAAACATTTGCTGGACAATTCCTGACTCCTGGATAAAGGGACATCTTTTTCGTTGGGAGCTGGTTTTCACCAAATGTGGATTTGAGGAGCTAGATAAAATGTTATTCCCTTGTTCTCACAAACTGTCACTAGACAGTCTGGCATGGTTCATACAAGACTCTGATGAAATAGGTCATTGTTTTTAAACAGCGCTGGGGATGAAACCAAGGGCCTTGCACCGCTAGGCATTCTCTCTACCACTCAACCACATGCCCTGCCCCCCCGAAAAGGTGATTCCTGATTGATGGTAAACGCACTTTAATCAGCAGCCCCTGCCCTGGGTGGCACCACTGGGGAAGGCCAGGCATTTGAAAGTGAGGTAGGAAGAGGGTGGGGCAGGGGGCAATGCAGCTGAGGCCAGTCCCAGCAAGGGCTCTGTGTGCTCAGGCAGCAGCCCAGATGACCATGAGGAAGGCCCAAGGTGGCCCCTGCATGCCTGAGCTGCCCCCACGGAGGCCCATCTGCTCAGACCTCTGCCTGGGCCACTGGCTGGTGCCCGAAACTGCATTCTGCAGTCCCAGTTGCTCAGCCCACTGCGGGTGGCCCTGCAAAGGCTGAGAAGACACCTGGAGCAGATTCGTACCTGCAAAAAACAGCCGCTCATGTAGAGAACAGCTGCTTGTGGCCAACACAGGGGCCTGTCTTGGTGGCCAGTTCCTCTGTTCCTTGACCATGACCCACCACAGTAGGTACTGAACAGGAGGGATCAGAGGAGGAAGATGAGGTGACAGAATATGCAAAGCTTACTGAAGTGCTAAAACAAGCACAGGATCTCAGGAGATGGAAAGGTCCTTCCTAGACCAGGGACCGCCTCCTACATTCCTGCCACTCACGCTTTCTTGGTTCAGCTCTGAGCACTTCAAAATCCTTTTCTTTTTCTTTTTCCTTTTGGCTTTTTTGAGATAGGGTCTCGCTAGGCAGTTCAGGGTGGCCTTGAGCTCACTTTATATCCCAGTCTGGTCTTGAACTTGCAACAATCCTCCTGCCTCAGCCTCTCAAGTGCTGGGATTACAGGCGTGCACCACCATGCCTGGTTGGAGGGGCTTTTCCAGAGTCACAGGTAAAAGGTTCATTACATGGAGTCAGGAGTGTACAGCACACCTGCTGGGAACATGTGCACCCAATCAAGAAGAGGAAGAAAGCAAGCAACCTTTCCACAGAGGTGTCACCTTTACTGAATGCAGGGCACAAAAGGAGAGGCCTCTGACAGGCCTGGATCTTCTCAACGAGGCAGGTGGGGCCAAGACACACAGCTGTGATTCTCCCTGACTACAGTACTTCACTTTCCACATCTTGGAGCACATGAAGAGCAAACCCACCTGTACTGCAGCTTTTGTCCTCACCTCTCAGGCTTGAAAGGTGCGACCATTTGTGAACGGAAGAACCCGAACTCTCCATGAGCTCAGTGCCATTTACTCTCTGGGATCCCAGATAACTTTCAAGCAGGGAGAAGAGAGAGCTGGCTCATATGTTGGTGGAGCAGCAGCTGTTGCGATGAAGCCTGTGAAATGGAGCGCAGAACTCCACAGTGCACTCGAAAGCAGTCAGCCAAATGCAGCGGGTAAGGGCCATGGGCCAGACAGCACCCCAGGCAGGGCCTTCGCCTTAAACCTCAGCTGGTGCCTGCTGTGGGCCTGAGGGGCCTAGCCTGATCGAAACACGGGCTGGGCTTAGGTTACAGCACTTTCCTGTTATTACTGTGTCCCACTGCAGGAACAATGGAGACTGAGACCACCTGTTCTGATGCTGGTCTGAAATGGGTGTCTTGACACTTTGGAGTCCTTTATCAGAGTGGATGTGACAGAGTGGGTTCAAATGTAGCTTGTAAGCTACCTTTATGGCAAGTAATATCTCCAATGCTCTAACTACCCAGGGCTGACAATGTTTTGGCTGCCATGAACAATGACCACACAGGCCTGGATAGGCCCGTCAGGTTGTCAGCAGCTTGTTCAGCAGCCCCAGGTCCAGAAAACTGACTGGTGGTGAAGGTCACAGAGCTGGTAGCTGTCTGAGTAGGAAACAGATCCCCATCTGTGGAACTCCACCTTTACCCGCCCACCCCAGAGCAGGCTGTCGGGTTTCATGCTTTACTAACAAATGGTCTCTATTCTCCCTCCCTTCTTCAACAAAAATTTGTTCCCAACTCTTTCTCTCCTCTCCCTTGCGAACATCTAATTCTAAGCAGGAAGTCTGGAATTTAGACTTTCTTTTTCTTTGCCGTTACTAGGGACTGAACCCTGGGCCTTCACACTGAGCTATATCCTCAGCACTCCTTAAAAATTTTTGGAGATGTGCTCTTGCTAATTTGACCTGGCTGGGCTCAAACTTGTGATAGCCTTGTGAGGAGCCGTTTCTTATGGAGTATAATAAATAGTCGCTTTTTTTTTTGAGACGGGGCCTCACTTTGTAGTTCAGGCCTCAAAACTCACAGTGATCCCTTCCTCAGCTTGCAGAGTGCTGGGATTGCAGGTATGTGCTACCACACCAGGCAAAAGGAGTATTTTAGAATATTCTTTGAGAAACCAAAAAGAATTACTGAGATGATCTGATGTTGACTTTTCTTTGGAAAGAAAATAAAAAGGTTTAAAGAATTATTGAGATGATCTGATGTTGACTTTTCTTTGGAAAGAAAAGAAAAAGGCAAAAGTGGGGGGACCCTCTGCAGCAACAATATATCCTAACTTTCAGACTTACATGGTATCATAAGAATCTCATTCAGAAGATCAGCCGAAAAGCCCGAGCAAATCGAGAACAAGGCCCAGGGCCTTGACGTCACTGTACCCCAGTGAGCCTTCTTCCCTGGGTCTTTAACGCAGGGCTGACTTTGGAGAGTACGCTCTCTACCATGGCGGCCAGACCTCTGCCTTCCCAGCAGGCCTGGGAGGTGCTGGCTGGGTTCATGCTGGACTCTGCAGCAGAGTAAAGGGAAGGAGAGTGAGGTCTTTGTCTTCTCCAGCCTTGCTGAGGACTGACTTTATTTACTTTTTCAAGGACAAATTTTGAAAAATAAAGTGAGTGAAACCACGTGAGATCAAGATACACAAACAAAACTTCATA